ATGGATTCTAAATTGATTGTGAAATTAATTGCTGTGAAGCCCCTCTTTTGTGATCATAAATTCAAGTTCTTTTATAGGGATTAAATCCTAATTCAATTAAAAAAACTTTAATTCCACTAGATCTAGGAAAAATCCCTATAATTTGATTATGTAATTTTTTTTTTTTGCATGAATTAAGTCCCAAGCTTTCCATAATTGATTAAGCAATGAATTATTGAATCTGAGATTGAATATAGCTGAATCAAATCCAAGAGCAATCTGCCAAGACAAATCACATGTTTTTCTTTTTTGAACTTTAACCAATAAAATTAAAATCAAAATCAAAGTTAAAATTAAGATTTTCTGGCTTTTAATTCTCATGTCCAAAACTTTTTGAATTAGGGCATAATATTTGAAACCTAATGAATCTCAAGAAAATCTCCAAACAAAGTGGGGTGTCTACAATTACCTAATATTTTATGTTGAATCTTGTCAAAGATCAATTATTTTTGCTAAAAAGTACAGAAAGCCTAATAATGCCACCATTGGTTAAAATAAGGCTTGGCAGACCTACTAAGAAAAAGAGGAGGAAAGCATTTGAAGGAAAGAATAGGACCAAACTATTAAGGGTTTGAAGACTTATGACATGTGATTTTTGCCATGAAAAGGGCCACAACAAGCAAGGTAATCTAAAAAGGCCTAAATTTGTAAGATTTATAAAATTTATAGTCATGATTTTTTGTAGACATTTTAAAATGTCATATAGTTGTTCATTTTAAATGTGATTTGAACTAATTAAGACATGTTATTTTAAATAAATAGGCAAGTAGTGTTATAAAATCAAGACCTCGAAATGGATAAAAGAAGAAGAAAAATATGTCAAAAGACATGTCTACTAATGTTGCTAGTAGACTTCATTGCAAGGTATAAAACATGTTTACTGATATAGCTATTTAACTTTATTGCAAGATATATGACTTCATAACCTTGTATGTGTTATGTTTCATGTAGGATAATGCTTAAGGATCTAGCCCAACACCTACCAAGAAAACTTTTAATGATGAAAAATCATTTATTCTGTTATGCAAAATGTAAATAGTCATTTAATATTTTTAATTTCAGTTGAATTTGTATTTCATCTATATTGCTATTGAGATATTGTACTTTAGCAATGAAAAGAAATGGTGACATCTTAACACAAGGAAGAAAAAAAAGAAACCATGGTCATATAGAGAAAGGATAGGTTTATACCAAGATCTTGATAGTGGATTCTTAATGCTAAATATAAGTATTTAGGTTGCACAATTTTATAAATGAAACATGTTTGGATATAGATTGTTTCTAACACTACTTTTTTATGTTTAAATCAAAAAGCCTAGAAGACTTGGTGAAATGATCATAGACAAACAAGGCATGATGCTTAAATTTTGCATACTAGAAATCAATTGTTGGTAACCCTTATACCTAATTTTCTTTTCAAACTATATCGAGTCAAGTGACAATGTCTAGAGATTGATTTAGCATGTTATTCTCTTCTTTACAATAGGCACAAAGGAACAACATGGTTACAAGGAAAAAAAAGGTAATAACTGAGGATTTCGCATGAACCTCACCCAAATAAAGTACATTAATAAAAGAGAAAGAAATAGCTTGACTCCAAAAATAGATGCTCTTTGTCACCTTTTAATTTTTTTGTTGCTTTTGATTGTTATGATTGGTTTTAGCAAATGAACTCTGATTTTTTTTTTTGTAAAGCTTAGGATGCTATTGTGGTTTGAGGAACATTTTTTTTTTTGTATATCCTGATCTTACTATACCATTGAGGTTTATTAGATAGCAAAACAAAATTATACCAATATGGTAAATATGATAAATTGCTTCTTTATAGCAAAACTTATTGTTGGATTTGGAAACTATATATTGTGCATTTGTGTTTGAAATGAAAAAGCCTTACAGTTTCATGTATGTTTTGTCAATTTTTTTTAAATGTGATATATATGGTAAATGTGGTCAAATTGAACTATAAATGACATAAACAAAATGAATCATAAGGAACAAAGTTTTGACATTACTCAAAACTCATAAACCATGTACATAGACAGTTATTACAACAACAAAAAATCCATTTCATTAACATAGCCAAGCATTTATAGAAGGGTTAGAAATTCACCTTTCATTACATCATTCCTACCATGTAGTATTGTGAAATACAATAAAATTAACCAACTCATTATAAAAACCAATTTGTATTATCTTCATCTCTCTTAATTGTCTTTTTGAATCTATAACAAAACTCTTCAATTTTATCTCAAACACCTTAATCTCAACCTTCAATGTAGCTACTTCATCGTATAAGTTTCCATTGATGATTCTAAAAGACATTTTTTTAAAACATCCATTTTTCATTTAAACTCAACTACAATTCTTGTTAATGCTTTATTTTCTTCTTTCAATATCAAATTCTTCTTTTCCAAATTTTTATTAGCATCCTTTAAGTTAATAATCACTTCTTTTATATGGTCATCACCTATTCGTGGATCATGCCAAATAAAAAAACCTAAATCTTTTAACTTACACAATTTATCATAAACAACAAAATGAATAATCAATTTCTACCTAAAACTCTATAACATGCAAATAAATTCCTTAAGCCATTGCATAATTTCATACCTTACTGTATCCAAAAAATCTTCTTTAAAGATTATTATCACTTGTTGATATAGCTAAAAGAGCTTTCACTCCACAATAACAGTATAATGGATCACCTTCATAATCATAAGAGAATAGTGCATGACCTATACACATATTTTTTATATGAAACAAAGGGCATTGTTTTTATTGCATTTGATTTCTAAAAAATTTCAACATTCTATCTAAATTAATTTATCAACAAATATATACATATAAAAAGTAATAATATGTTGCCACAATTTGTTCAAAAGACCTAAATCCTTAAACTAGATGTGTTCAACAATTAAAATGACCAATTGTCGAAATTAAAAGCCAATAGATTTTGATTAAGAGCCAAATCCTGAAACAAGAATTCATAATAAAATTAATAGCCAAGGGATTTTTCTATGCGATGGTGACTTACTGAAACTTTTGCAGCTCTTTGACTCTGATTGCCCAAAACTAGTTTAACTTGATCTTCAAATCATGGCAGTTATTTTGAATCTTTGTCTTTATGGGTTTCAATCCTTAAAGTCTGATGGATTTTAAGGAAACAAAAGGCAAAATTCTAGGGATTGGATTTTGTGGGAGGGGATACGAGAATTTTAAGTAAAAACTAGAAAAGAAAAAGGCTAGAAAAATTTAGAGATTCCTAAAAAAGTTAGAAAAAGTAGAAATGAAAAGGTTAAATTGGCACATGAAAAATCCATGTCATAAAAAAAAAGCCCTATCACCTAGCATTTTTATCCATGTCATCAGGTCAATGACACATTACGTGGTCAATGTGCCATATCATCAATTTAACAGACTAAATAGTCAACCGTCACAGATTAAATAATAATTTTAGATAACAATAAGTATAGATACTTTCAATATCATAATTATTGTGCAAGAACTAAATTCGAATTTTATGTGTAGTACAGAGATTAATAGCATAATTTGACTGTCATGTGTATTGTTTGTTATATGTGTAACATTTTAGGTGACACTTCTACTAATACAAACATATTTAACATATGAATCAAAGATTTTCTTTCATCAAATAAAAATTTATTCATATTTAAAAAAAAAAAGGAATAACAATGATTAAAATTTTTGGAAATATTAATATTTCCTTAATTTTTTTTGAATATATACATTAACATGATAATTGAAGGGCATATGTCGACATTTATTGCTAATGAACTGATGATAAACAAAAGAATTATGTATTTCCCTCTCCCTTTAATTTCTTGATTTTATATTTTTTTTATCAAAAGGTTGCAAATTAACATGGTTTAATCAACTTGACCCAAGAATCAACAAAAAGGCCATTTACTACTCACCATATCCAAGCTATAAGCTCAAAAATTAGGTTTGGAGAACAAAGGTATTTTGAATTTCAAAACCCACTAAAAATAGGATTTTCTCATTCATATCCTCATCAACTTCTTCACCATCTTGGCCTTTTGCTTCATCAACATTAATGTAGCTTCAAATAATTCATCTTCAGTCGAATTATTAAAAAGAGATGGAAAATATTATTGTTTCAAAAAATAAATTTATTGTATAAATTAACTTCCTAAAAAATAATTTATAATAATTAATGAACAATAGAAAAAATACTTCTTAAAAAAATTGAATAAAAGATAAGAAAAAACATTAAATATAAAATGTTTTGGATAAAACAACTATTAAAGAAATTCACATGCATAAATGTAATGCAAATGCTAACTTATATAAATATATACTAAATGTAAAAAAGAAAAATACATTTAAAATTTTAAATAGAATCAAATTTTATGTTTTTACCATCTATTCCAAGATTTTGTATATAATTAATGGAAGCTATATGTAGCCAACTTCCACAACAAGCATATCCAAGTGCAACCTTTAGCAACATTTTGGTCAAAAGAAAACAAACTTTTTTGATGATTTTGCACTAATGTAATAGTAAAGGAAAACAAATTATTTTTTGTGAATTAATTTGAAATTTGGTTACCAACTCAAACTATTGTGAAAATCTATAGTACTTTTTATTTCTTTTCTTTTTTATCCTTTTTTTTTGGTAAATCCCAAAATTATGTTCTATTTTTTTAACATCTAAAATTCTTACTTTTTTATATTTTCAAATTATTTTTATGATTTTTTTTTACTTTTTGATATTAAAATCATGGAATTTTAATTTTATAAAAAAAATTTAAATTTTAATATTAAATATATTAAAATCAATTTTTTTTAAAAAAAATCCATAAATATCAAAATATGAAAAAAATTTTAGGATGAAGGAAGTAATATTACGTAGCTTATTCCTCTACCATAATTACATCTTCTATTTGCTCCTCTTTCATAATTAACTACTTTATTCATTCCTCTTAGATAATTACATTCAAATAATAACTTCATCACAAAACTCAAGATAATCTCTATTTATCTAATTATTATCCATATCTATACTACCATATATAAAAAGGATCCAAAGGATCCTCAAACTTATACTTGTTCGATTTTTCTTTCATTTCCATAGGTTTTTCCTTCCCATGGTTTTGATGGCCGAACAAAAGTGGAGACAGGCTGTGGCCAACAAAATGCCATTCACGTATTCCCCTAATGACGTTATCCCATTCTTTTTCCTTATTTTTTCTCTTATTTTCTCTCTCTGTATCTTCATTTTTACTTTGCAACCAGTTTTAGGATTTCTCGATCTCATTTTCTGGGTTTTCAATTTCATTCTCTCTCTTTTTCGTATTTTACCCTTCTCTATTTTTCTTAAAAAGGAATGAATCATTTTGGGGAATAATGATTTGTTATTGTTTGCTACAGGTGAAGGCGACATCGTAGGAGCAGTAGTTAATAAGCAAACAAAAAAGAATGTACTAGGAGATAGGAAGAATCGCCTACATTGGGAGATATTGGGAATTTGGTAAATGTTAGAGGATTGGTTGATGGCAACCCTCAACCTCAAATTCACTATCCTTTCACGAGATCTTTCTACACATAGTTAGTTGCCAATGCACAAGCTGCTACTGCCACTATCGCAGTGAAATAAGGTATATATATTTTTTGTTTTCGTTCTTTAATTGGATGTGGGTTTTGTTTATTTTTCTTTTTTTTTTTTTTTGGAGGATTTTGGTGTTACAGACTTCAATTTCATTTAATAGTGATGAATTGTTGAATAGGGTTTGGGTTTTTCTAATTTTTTGCTTTAGTTTTTTTGTTATTAAACAAAAATTTTTCAGTGTAATATTTTTTTATGGATTCCATTCAGGTGTTAACAAAGGCATAACATGGTTTTAGGTAATTCAAAAAAATAGGTTTTCTTCCTTTCACTGCTTTTATTTTTTCAATGTGGTTTATTTTAAATTTTGACTTTTTCCTCCCTTTTACATATTTAAAATAGATAAGAAATTTATCCAAATGGGTTATACTGCCTATTAGGTGAGTGGTTTTCTAATAGGGTTTCTTGACAAGTTTGTGTGTAATTGTTTTTAAACAAGGGTTAATGTTTTTGAAATATGGTAGATCTAGATTCTATTAACTGAATGCAAGTATAATTTAATATTCTTTTGCCTGATAGCTCATATTTGGGTTTTGTATTTTAATTTTTTTCATGAAATCATCATACATGTTATGGCTTAAGTAACAGTTATATTATTTTTTCTCATGTATTTCATGAAATTCTCATATTATTCTTATTTTTTATCTACAATTAAAGGTATTAGGCATTGCATCCCTGAACATAAAAAAGCTTGAGGATATAGGTCTTTGCACGGTTAAATTTGTTGCTTGCACCCCAAGATCTTCTTTAGATCAAAGGAATAAGTGAAGCTAAAGTTTACAAGATCATTGAAGTTGGTATGCTCTTTCCACACTTTTTTTTCATTCAATTTTTGTTGACTTTTGTTACAATTTATAAAATGATTTAAAATTAATATGTTTGTTGTTCTTGGTTCTTGGCAGCTTCCAAGGTGGTCCCGTTAAATTTCACCAATGCTAGCCAGCTCCATGCTCAGAGATTCGAGATAATTCAGATAACATTTGGGTCAAGTGAACTTGATAAAATTTTGGAAGGTACATGTGCTCTGGTATGTGTGAAGTTTGTTTGACTTTGATTGTAAACATTCCTTGGAAGGTTTATATGTTGGTGTTATTTGGATTTAGGGGTTATTTGAATTTGGGGGTTGCATGTGTACTCTATTGCAAGGTTTGTACATTGATTTTTTTTTAAATATTTGTCTAAAATATTTATTGCATGTTCTATAGATGATAGTCCATTGGATTTTTTTTGTAGATTAGTTTTGTAATTTTTGTTTAATTATTGTTTTTTGTGCAAGTATTGTTGAATGTTGTTCTGGATTTAGTTGAAGGTTAGCGAGTAGTGTAAATATGTAGCCTTTCGATCTGAATTTCGATTATTTTAGTTTTTTTCTGCTAATTCAACTAGGCTCTCATGTTCCTATTGTTAAAGGTGCAAAACCGCTCCTTGGAAGGGATCCATTAGTTGGGACACCTAAGCCTTTAATGGGTTTAAGAAGAAAAGGGGAGAAACGTTTGAAGAAACAAGATTCTAAGCTACGTAGAAGAGGTTGTTAGGGAAGGGGTCCTAATGGGATTGATGAGATTTCTTCTCCTTTAGTATTAAAGCCGGTTCCATTTGATTTTGATCAGTGTACACCAGCGAAAGAGCGGTCTATTTTAGCGAGAACTCCGATGATTTCTCCAATGATAACAAGGATAGAAAAGGATGGGAATGCTAATGCTGGTGTAAGGTGTTCTTTTGGTGGGGGGTTGTTGGCTAAATTGATGGATACCAAAAGAGAAAGTCCTACTTCGCTTAGGAAAAGCTGTATTGCGTCTTCTTCTGCCTCAAAGTTTCCTCGGAGAAAAAGTGTCTGCGATCGAGATCCTAGGATCCCAATTAGTTCTCTCAACTCAGCTGTAGGTGCATGTTGTTCCCCTTTTCCATTTAACAGTTGCTATGTTTTACTTTAATATGTTAAATTTTTTGATGACGTTTTGCTGAGGAAAGCGAATCTCCCTTTTCTACAGGAAAAGAAAAGTTCAAGCCCACCACCAAGTTTAAGGTGTGGACAGGGGGTAATTGCTTCCCTCAATATGGGTGGAGATGTATAGAACAACTCCAACCGACCAAGTGTTACTGCACAACAACCAGAATCTCACTTTGATAGTAACTCAGCCTTTGATAATAGCACAAGTTTACCCATGACTTTGCTCGGTAAGCTTGGCATGTTGGGTAAGGTGAGACTATGATTCCTGTTAACTAAGAAAATTGTCAATTTGTCATGGATTTAGTTCTGGTGGTTGACTTTATAGTTTATACTTGAACAGGAAGCTGTGCTGCAGCGAGAAACAGCTCAGAAGATTGCTCTTCAAGCACTAAAAGATGCTTCAGCCACAGAGAGTTTAGTTCGCTCTCTCAAGTAAATAAACTTAAAAACTGTTTTTCTCTTTTCGTTTGTTATCAGTTGAAGTTTTACGTTTGCTAAGGTCGATATACTTTGTCTGGTGGCAGGATGTTTTCCAATTTGAGCAATTCAGCAAAACTCCATCTGCATGTTTCGATCAGTTTCTGGAGTTTCACGCCCAAATTGTGAAGACCGTGAATGATATAGTATCCATTCAAGCGGCTACTAAAATGGCACAAAACTCAAAAGCTGAACTGAAATATCAACAAGGTGAAGATGAGCCAACAAGAGGTATCGTAACGAACGACATAAGCTGGCCAACAAGAGTCCACATTTTTTATATTGTTGTTCACCTCTGTTTTTTTCTTTTAAATTACCATACATTTGGTTTTCTTTCAGATTATCCTTTTGCATGTATTTATCAGTTTTCTTTGATTCTTCAGCTCTTTCCTGATATTGCTCTCGAGACTGCAGGAAATTTTTTGGTCCTTCTGTACAGATGATTAAATAAACCTGTTCTGATATTTCTATTCCCTATTTTATTATGTTTTTCTTTTATACAAACTTACACATAGGTTTTCACTTTGGCAATTTTATTATCATAAAAATGGTGAGATTCGTTTGGTATTTGTTTTGTTTTAATCTGTTTGTAATTTTTTTTATTTTTTTGGATATGGTTTATTTCAAATTGAATTTTTTTATATGATTTATTTCATAATGAATGATTATGGTTGTACTTTGAGGTTCTATTGTATGAAAAACATCAACTGTCATAGCATACCGGATATTTTCAATAAAAACAAGTAGTATATTACTATGAGATTTTTGCTTTAAATTGCAAATTACATATCTGACATGTTATTTTTAATAGAAGTAAGTGACATATGGATGGATACTACCTATCTGAGATGGCTTTGAATTAGTAATTGGATATTGAGCATATTTAGTTCACTGAGTTTAACTTATTTAGTTATAATTTGACATTTTTTATCAAACAATCAAAAATGGAAAGTTTACCAAAAAACATTTTAATTTTTTTTTTTATTAAGGCTAACTAATCAAGCTATTGTATATTTTTGAGGTTTCTTACACATATAATAATGCCTATGTTGTAACTTTTAACTCAAACATACATTTAATTTAAAAACAAGGGATTAGTTTAGTTATATATATATATACACACACACTATGGTTAAATTAGTTTGATTTATGACGGGAAAAAATCTATTTTTGTGCTGCTCAACATGTTGGTTGGTTTTATTTGAACAGTGATTTGGTTTACTAATTTATTTTACTGTAAATAATTTCAAGTTTTACATCAAGTGAAAATAAAAGTAACTATGATTTAGAAAAGTAAATATCTGAGATATTTAGTCATAAATATTAATTTTTTCTTAAATTATTATTTTATATAATCTGCACATATCACTCAAACTTTTAATTAAAACAGATATCAATTTAATAAAATAAAAATTTATTATAACAAATTGAGTAAAATCAAGACTTCTTTACTATTTTTTTCTTTTTTGTAGTTCTCAAATTTATTTTGGACAATTTTTCGAGTTAAAGTTAATTTGAGCCATTTGGCAGCTATAATTTCAATTGCCTACGTCATTATTGTTAGTTCATCATTGATCTTTAAAGAGTTGGTTCATCACTGATTTTCAAAGAGTTAAAAAATTGACTTTAATATACAATATTAAATTTTGAATTTTGTATAAATTGAATGTTTCATATTTTTAATAGTAAAAATTTTAGAAATAAGGAATTTAAATGTTAAAAAATAAAGAATATAACTTTGAAACGTAAAAAGATTAAAAAAAAAGAGGAAGTATTAATAATGTGTTTCTAATTATGAAAGTAGCTCTAACGTAAAAAAAATTTAAAATCCATAAGTTAACTAAAAATGTTAATTCGAGATATCAAAATAAATAATTAAATGGAAGTTAAAATATTAAAATTAATAATTTTATTTCTTTAAATACTAAAATAACATTAATAATTCTAATAATTGGGATTTACATTATTTCTTTTATAATAACATTCAATTTATATTTAACCTAAATCTCAATTATTAGAATTATTAATGTTAGTTATTTAAAGAAATAAAATTATTAATTTTAATATTTTAACTTTCATACAATTATTTATTTTGGTATCTCGGATTAATATTATTAGTTAATTTATTAACTTGTTATGAACATTTAATAAAATGTTGAAACATGTAAAAAATATTCAATTAATATTACATCATCAATTGTCATATCAGTACTAAAAGAGAATTTCAAAAAAAAATTTCAAAATTTGAAAATAAAAAGTAAAAAAAATTATTTTAAAAATTATAAAATATCAAAAAATTTGAAATATGTTTAAAAATTATAAAAAATTAAAAAATTACGAAAATATCAAATATTCAAAAGAAAACTCAAAATTTAATAAAATTTTAGAAAATTAAAAAATTACAAAAAGTTTAAAAAAAATTTAATAAAAATAAATTTTCTTACAATTTAAAAAATTCATAAAAACTTTAAAAAATGAATATTAAAAAAATCTAAATTTTTTGAAAATTTTTGAAAATAAAAAAGTTTCATTTTTTAAGGAAAAATCTTAAAATTTAAAAACATTCTAAATTTTTTTTTAAATTTCTAAAAAATTAAAATTTTAAAAGTTTGAAACATTCTAAAAATTTTTTAAGAAATTAAAATAAAAACTTTAAATTTTAATAAAAATCCAAAAATAATTTAAAATTTATGACAAAATTAAAAATATATAAAAAAATTAAAAATGTAAGAATAAAAAAATGAAACAATTTCATAATTTTTTTTACAAAATTTTAAAAATTTTCAAAAAATTTTAGATTTTTTATTTTCAATATTTTTAAAGTTTTTTTCAATCTTTTTTATTTTTAAAAAATTTTATTTTCATTAAAGTTTTCTTTTTTTATTTTTTTGAATTTTTTAGGGTTTTTTTTTTAATTTTGAGATTTTTTGAACTTTTTAAGTTTTCAAAATTTTTTTATAATTTTGTAAAATATTTTAGTTTTTATATTTTTAAAAAATATTTCATATCTTTAAAATTTTTGAAATATTTTTAGAATTTTTTGAAATTTTCTTCTAATGCTGAAGTAAAAATTAATGATTAGGCATTGATTGAATGTTTTGACATGTGTCAGTACCTTATTGGATATTCATATTATGTTAGCAATTTAACTTAATTAATCTCAATTTAACTTATAACATTAATCTCAAGTACTAAAGTGGATGAAGTTTGAGTACCAAATTAATAATTTTATTTTTTTAAATATGAAATTGACAAAAAATATATAGTAAATGGGCCATTTTCATGTTTAACCTTGGGATTTTAAGAAAGTTAGGTGAAGTTGGGTGCATGTTTGGTGTGCCTACAATGTAAGAGACAGATATCAGCAACATAGCATGGCTTAGTTAGATACCAAAATAATTTCTATGATAGGACCACTACCATATCTCCAGCTATATTCAAGTTTTGCCAACATTAACAGTTAATAGTTCGCTTAAGTTGACTTCAAGGGCCGACAATAACGTGGTTTAGTAGTAAAGTGTTGGACTCTTAATTTTAATAATTAGAAATCAAATCTTAACAGCATTAGATACAAAAAAAAAAAAAATTTGAATGCTAAAAGAGTGTTTTTTTCATTTCCTTTTTATTATTTGGTGCATGCATGTTTAATTAGGGACAAATATAAAATTTTTTTTTTAATATTCATTTATAATATATATAAAAAATTATCATGAATTTAAGCAAATTGCACATTTGCAATAGCTTAAAGTATCAATGGTGCAATTGATCCAATATTCAAAACAATCTTCACATTCCCACACATGATTATATAAATCGAGTTGTAGAATAAAGAACGTATATACAAGGAGAGTAGTTCCACAATGATAAGGGGATGTAGTCTATATATTAGTGAGGGAGATGATAGTAAGAAATTGGTGAATAAAAATTATCAAGTATTGAAATGGTGTGTAAAGAAATATGAAGAGGATCCCCATTCAACTCTTCAAGTACAATTAATAGATTTCCAAAAGGTTTGAGAAATGAGCGAGGCACATGGTACCTACAATATTAACCAAAACAACGTACATGTAAGTAGGATGGATGCATCACCAACTTAAATGAATATACAATTCTTTGGATGTTATACTTCCATTGTTTAGTTCTAATGAGAAGTTACTTCACGTGTAGGATATTTCCATAATGGCATGCATTAATCCAATCCAAAATAGAGGGACTTCAATATTGAAAAGTAGGGTGAATACTTACAAAGTTTGCGAGGGATTTCCTTTAGAAGTATGAAATGAAACCCAATAGCGACCAATACTTTGATCGTTCACCCAAACTTCTCCTTTTCCCATTGAACTAAGGTTTAAGGCAATTGGATCATCTCCAATGGGTGCATCAAACACAGTCTGGCAAATCACTTATATAGACTTAATTGTTATGGCAAATCTTTATGTATTCACAATGAAAGAAATTTGTTCAATAATTAATTTACCTTATACCAAGTGAGTGACTTGTTTGTAGAAAGATCAATCTCAGTCCATTCCACCTCCTCTAAATTTTCTTCTTTATAAACTTGTAACTTCTCCCCTACCAAACCAACCTACACATACATAAATTTAATTTCTTCTTTTAAAATGTATTTGTCATGGTCTATGTCCATGTCATACTTAAACTTGACTTTTTTTATTTGATAATTAAGACTGTCAGATTTAAACATTGATTACTGAAACTAAAATTCTAATAATCTATAACAAACTAGAATAAAGAGATATATGAAAAAAGCTCCCTGCACTAGGAGAAGTGAAGTCTTGGTCTCAAGAGTCTATCCCAAGACTACTCTTTCAAAGTCTTTGGGCGTTTAGTCTAGTTAGCGAGGTAAGCAGTAGGGTTCGGTGGTGGTTTAGTATAGGAGATGGCGAAGGAGTTGGATGATTTACGCAAAACCACTCGTTCACGGAGGAGGTGTTGGGCTGTGTTCAGTCAGATAATAATGCACTAGAAGGGGCATGTGCTAATGAAGAGAGGTGGATGGTGGGCAGGCTATTAACGTCTAGATCTTTTAATAAGGAAGCCATGATCAGCACCTTGAAAGTTATATAGAGAACAACAAAGGAAGTTGAGATCATGATACTTGAAGATAACCTATTTCTCTTCAAGTTTGCCACAAAAGCTGACAAAAATAGGGTTCTAAAGGGAGCTCCGTGGTCCTTTGACAAAAATCTTTGCTAATAGATGACTACATATCAAGATTATGTTTGACAGACTACAAATGTCACAAGGCTAGCTTCTGGATCCGTGTCTATGGTCGTCCACTAGGGATGACTCTGAAAATTGCAACATGCATAGGAAGGAAAGTAGGACAACTGTAGAAAGTGGCTGCAGGATTGGATGGAGGGGGCTGGGCCAGATTTGTGCGTTTTAGAGCTGTCATTGACATTCGGAAGCCATTGAGAAGAGCAATATTAATCAAAGGGATGGAAGGAAAAGATTTCCTAGGAAGGTTGGGGTATGAAATATTGCCAAATATTTGCTATAGGTGTGGCATTATTTGTCATATTGATGCAAAGTGTGAATTAGCGATCAATATAAGAAATGGATATGGACAAAGCAAGCAGCAGTATGAGGAGTGAATGAGAAAGAAATATGCAAGAGAAGGTTCATCATCGGCCTTAAGTGCAAACCGAAAAAAGGAGGAAGATGGCAGCTCCGGGCGAGGTAGGGCAAGGAAGAATGAAAAGAGTCAACGGCTTGAATGTTGTATTTTTGGAGGAAAACACGGGACAAGGTTCAACTAATATTGGAATGCAATCTCGGGATGGAAAATCAGGGATTGAATACATGCAAACATGGGAAAGACAGAGGGGATAAAGAATATTCAGGAATATGTTTCATACAACATCATGTGAATAGCATGGGTTTACAGGTGATAATAAAGTCTCAGGTGGGCCTTCAACCGTGGTTAGTGCATTGACAACCCATATAGGAGACCAAAGGCGCAGGATTTTCAGTGTAAAAGGTATATCAAAGGTAGCCACTTTGAAAACTGATGCTAAGGGGAACAATAAGATAAATGTTGAGACTAGGGGTGTAAATGATATATTAGTATTCGTAAGCTATTCGAATTTGATTCGAACAAAATTCAAATTTGGTTCGGTTTTTATCGAGTCGAGCCAAGCTTGAGTAGCTCGACTTATCGATCGAACCGAATTCGAGTATTCTTATATTCGGCTCGAGTAGCTCGTAAGCTTAATCAAGCTTTTACATTTAAATATATTTTTATTATTTTAATTAATAAAATATTTCGAATTCGAGTTCGAGCTCGAGCATAAATAATCGAATTCTTGTCGAGTATACGATTCGAATTTATTTTTACATATTAATCAAGTTTAATCGAACGAGCTCGAGTAACTCGAATTCGATCACGAATCGAGCTCGAGCTTAAAAAATAAAACTCGATCGAGTTCGAGTCGAGTATCGAGCCGCGAGTTATGAGTCGAGCTTGAGCTCGAGCTTCTCATTATATCGACTCGACTCAACTCGATTACACCTTAGTTGAGACTATTGAAACTAAGGTCCCCATAAAAATGGTCCACAAGAACCTCATGTAGGAATTGACGAAGGGTGACAGTGGAAAAGAGACAAGCATAGGACGTGATGAAATTTATAACACGTAAGGGAGCAAAAAAAGTGGAAAAAGTTGGAACGGGGGCCTACTCAAACCATGCAAGATGCTGAAACAGTGACAAGGAGTAAGAAAGCTTAAGCCGATACCCCAGAAGATAATTTAATGGAAATTGAAGCACAACGGAAAATACGTAGAGTTGAAGGATCTGATGCTAAGCAACAAGGAAACAGAACAGTAGAGGCTGATTACCAATCCCGCCAAGAACCATGAAAACATTAGCATGGAACTGCCGTGGACTTGGGAGCCCACGGACAGTTCGGGCTCTTCTCAATTTAATGAAAAAGGAAGATCTTGATATTGTCTTTGTAAGTGAGACATTACTGAAGGTCAAAGATCTAGACATAATTAGAATTAAAAATGTAGCATAAAAGTTGTAGTTGGAGTGGATGCAATATGTCACAGTGGAGGGATGGGAATGGTGTGTGAGGAAGGGTTTGATCTCAAGCTTCTAAGTTTTTTCAGGTACCATATTGATATGGAGGTCTCTGAACCATGTGGAACTGAATGAAGGGTTACGAACTTTTATAGGGAGCCTAAGACTACTGACCAACACTGTGCATGAAGGACATTGGGAGTCTCGCAGAACACCCATATAAACCATGGCTCTGAGTAGGGGATTTCAATGAAATTCTATGGGAGTCGTAAAAATTAGGGGCAATATTCGACCGGCTTGGTATATGGAGGCTTTTAGATGCGCAACAGAGGAGGCTGGACTGGAGGACCTGGGTTTTAGATGAATATGATACACTTGGGAGAGGGGGAATGAAGACCAGTCGGTGATTAGAGAACGGCTTGACAAAGGGTTGTGGAACCAAAGAGTGGATGGAGCTATTCCCGCTATACACGGTTACAAATTTGGTTTCATCAGTGTCTGATCACAGCCCAATCCTGGTGGATAATCAAGGATGCAGGTGGCACGGAGGAGCAGAAATAAGAAAAAAAGATTTTACTTCGAAGTCGCATTGTTGATAGTAGGGGAAACAGAAGACATCATCAAAAACTCATGGATTGAGTGTACACGGCGAGGACTTCATGCAAAAGTAGGGCATGTGGAGGAAGCCTAGGAAATGTGGAACAAATCCAGGCTTGATAAATATACGTGGTAGCTCTGTAAGCGAGCAGAAGAGTTTGTCGAATTGAAAAAAAAAGGAGCCTAATGCTAATGTGTTGAGGCGGTCAGCGGAAATCAAGAGGGAGATCAATGTAGCCATGGAAAAGGAAGAAATCTATTGGGCTCAGATATCAAAGGTGAACTCGTTACCGGAAAAAAGACAAAAATACCTCTTATTTCCATGCATAAGCGACAAACAGAAGGAGAAATAAAATTATTAAAGGGCTGGAAGATGAGAATAGGACACGGAATGATGATGAAAAATGGTCTTAAGGCTCGAATTATTGGACGAAAAGATTTTGAGTTTAAGTTGTTGTCGATAATTATTTATTGAGTTTATTTTGAATGCATAACTTATAATACCCTATCTATCTCGAATTAAAAAAAAAAAAAATGGATGCAAGTGCGGCGGTTCAGTATTTTCAATAACTATTTGAAACTCAAGGACCGAGCCAGTTTAGGGATATTATGGATGCTGTGGACTCAAAGGTGACATCAGAGATGAATGAACAGTTTGTGGCAAAGTTTACAGCTGAGGAGATCAAATAGGCACTTACACAAATGCACCCAACAAAAGCATCGGGCCTGATGGTATGCCTGCACTCTTTTATCAAAAGTTCTGGAATACTGTAAGAAATGATATAACATATTTCTGTTTGTTTGTAGTGAATGGGAATGAAACTTTAGGTGATGTTAATTCTACTAATATAGTTCTGATCCCTAAAGTTAAGAATCCTAGGAAGATCACCAATTCCCGACCCATAAGCTTTTGCAATGTATCCTATAAGAACATAGAAAAAGTCCTTGTAAATCGATTTAAGCATGTCCTTCCTCATTGTGTTAGTGAGTTCTAGAGTATGTTCGTGCCTGGTAGACTTATCTGTAATAATGTTCTGATTGCATATGAGATGATCCATAAGCTTAAGTCGAAACGATTTGGTTGGGATGGGTACGTAGCTCTCAAGCTAGACGTGAGTATGGCTTATGACAGGGTCGAATGGTCATTTTTGGAAGCCATTATTTGCAAGCTAGGTTTCCATAACCAATGGGCCGGTGTCCTTTATCATGAAATGTATCACATCTGTTTCTTACTCTATAGTTTTCAATGGTGATATTATAGATATGTTCTCCCCAAACGGGGATTACGCCAAGGTGACCCACTTTCGCCGCATCTGTTTTTGTTATGTACTAAAGGCTTTTCAGCACTTCTGATGAAGTATAAAAAAGATGGACTGCTAAATGGAGTTAGCGCAAGTAGGAATAGGCCTTGAACTAATCACCTATTTTTCGCAAAATGATAAGGTAAGCCAAATTCAATGCGAAAGGGTGAGGCATGTACTACAGAAGTTCGAAGAGGGTTCAGGCCAGAAGGTTAACCTAGAGAAATCAATTATATATTTCACCAGAAATGTTAGTGAAGCATGCCGAGAAGGTGTAAAGCAAATACTAGAGGTGCAAGAAACTTTTGATCCTGAAAAGTATATTAGGTTGCCAACCATGGTTGGGAGGAACAAGAAGAGAGCATTCAGAAATATTGTGGACAAAATTCAGGCAAAAGAGTACAGTGGAGCAACCAACTTTGTAATTGAGGGGAAAGGAGATTTTCATAAAATCGATATTACAAGCAATACCAGCTTATGCCATGAGTTGTTTCATCATGCCTAAGGGATTCTGCCAAGAACTAAACAGCATAATTAGTAAGTATTCGTGGAGTACAAAAAGGACGGGAAGGGACTTCATTGGTTAAAATGGGAAAGATGTGTACAAGCAAAGGGGAAGGAGGAATGGGGTTCAGAAATTTTAAGCTATTTAACAGAGCCTTTTGGCAAAACAAGGTTGGCGAGTGCTTATGAACACGGATTCTTTGGCCTATAAAGTGTTACATGACAAATATTTCCCTAATACCAACTTCATGGAGGCAATCTGAGGGGTAACCCGTCCCTTCCTTAGAGGAGTATATGGTTGGTGAGGGAGGTCCTTGAGGCGGGCCTTGCCTGAAAGGTAGGGATAGAGACCAAATTAAGATCTGGAAAGATAAGTGGTTGCCTGACAACATGGTGCTTTCGTATGGGAAAGGGACACATGAAAGACTATGAGAGGATGCAACCATGGCAGAGCTTTTTCACACCCATATAAGGAGTTGGAATGTAAAGACACTCAGGAGCTTATTCACGGAGGAAAAAATAAATTAGATCCACTTGATTCCGTTGAGTCACGAGAACCATGCAGATGTAAGGGTATAGAACATTGAGAAAAAATGGGAGGTTCTCTGTTAGAAGTCTGTACAGATTGCTGGTTAGTGAGCACGATAGAAGCATTGGTGAAGGACCAAGGTCTAACCTAGAGAGGAGCTTCTATAGGAAACTGTAGAGATTGGGGATCCCAAAAAATATTAAAATGCTTTGGTGAAAATTAAACAAAGGTTTCCTTCTTGTTTATCACCGACTTAGGCAAAAAGGAATGGACGTGGATGCAACATGTCTTAGATGTGGCCAATTTGAGGAGACAATAACACACGCCATGTGGGATTGTGAAAGTGTTAGGTCAGCTTAGAACCAGGCTGACGTGCCTCCCAGGTAGAGGAATATAAATTTGTCGGCAGAAAGAGGCAGGATTGAAGAAATAGCAGATGTAGTGGACATAGGAGTTTGGAAAATGGCCTGGTGCTCTATTGGGCATTGTGGAATACCAAGAACCAATCTGTGAAAAAGGGACTCACCAAACGTCAGAAAAGATGATTCATTTTGCTCGTAACTACTTGTGCGAATACACAGGCTAACGAAACCCAATTAACAATACTCCCAAAACCTGATGCTAAGTGGGAGACACCACCCCGAGGACATGCAATGTTGAATTTTGATGGAGCACTAAACCTAAGCGCTTGTATGGGGGGGATTGGGCTCATAATGAGGGATGACATAGGACATTTCCTGGGTGCTGCTTATGCAAAGGTGGATTATGTGAAAGACCCGTGTATTGTTGAGGCTTTAGCTGCATCCAAGGCAATGGAACTAGCAAAAATCTTAAAACTGGAATGTGTTTTTCTTGCAGGTGATGCCATGCATGTGATTAAGGGGTGCGAGTAAGGAAATGATGACCTCTCAAACGTGGGAAATATTATGGAAAACGTGAGGGCCATAGATCGAACCTTAAGGTCATCCCTGTTAGGTTATGTCAATAGGAAAGCCAGTGGCATTGGTCATTGTTTAGCTAAACATGCTTTGAATATTGCCTCTAATGAAATATGGATCAGGGACTGTCCATCCATTATCCAAGACATGATACACAATGAATGTAATGATCTTCAGTAATATATTTTGGTTGATTAAAAAAATCTAATAATCTATCAACAAAACACAAGACTTTTGGCCATGTCTTGACTTCTTCTTCGATGTAAATGTAAGTTTTCAGGTGAAAAAAAAAAAAAAAAGAAAGCAAGTGAAACCCACATTCTAGTAAATGTGAATGATTTGCTTAGGAGAAGAAAAAAATGTATATGGAAATAGCTAGGGGCATCAAATAATAGACTTAATGTGAGATTGTATTTGGGAAGAAAAATAAATATACCTGATATCCCCATGTATAATTGGTAAAGTCATATAAGTCTGTGTTAGAACACTGAATTTCGACTCTAGTCAATCCAGCAAATTTACTCTCTAGAAAAGCTCCTGAGTCCTTCAAAATATTAAAAAAAAAAAAAAAAAAAAAACAAACAAGCAATCATTTTAACTTAAACATCACCTTTGAAAATTTATTTAATTTGTAGAATCAATGTAGTTTGTGCATGGGCTAAGATGATTACCGGTAACCCAACCATAACACTAAGTATTGATACATTGTTCATACCATCATCAATTAAGCTAATTGGAACATCCATGGTAAATCCTTTAGTATCATGGCTTCCATGTCCAGCTTCTGAGAAAAATTAAGTAGAGATTAATCAATACATAATAAATTTATTTATCGATTACAATGGCATCCTATCATTTAATTTAAGGTAAATTTTATCTAGATCTTTCAGTTTTAAATATAATTCAACACAAATTCAGTAGTTTAAAAATACATAACCCACCCATAGCTTTCCAATTTCATAGGACAAGTAGATATATATGTTAATAATCATTTAGTTATTCTGTTAAAAAACTCATTTAAATACCATTTTAATCCTAAAAAGTCAATATTCTCAAATACTCACTTGAAGTAATAATTTATAATAATAAATTATTTTATTTTTCTCAAAATATATCAAATTTATTAATAATATAGAGAAAAAAGATTTTTAGATGCAATATATAAAAACAAAACTTACAAATATAAGCTAATATATAAATATATGTATAACATAATGAATATATTAAGCATGTAATATTATTTTGGCATCTAACAATTTAAAGAAAAAAAAAAGAAACATGAAGGATATAATATGAAAATAGATAGGTTAAAAAATATTACAATTGAATATTTGTCAATTTAGTTTTAGTTATTATAATATTTGTATATATGTTAAACTTAAATCTACATGTTTGTGAAATATAATGATGACAAAGTTATTAATTTTAAATTAAAATCATTTATAATAAGTAATCATAAGTTAAAGAGTTGTACTGTTTAAATACAAATAATTTTTGCTACTATATATTCAATGGATATATAGAATAAAGAATAATATATATAAATAGAATAAATTTAGGTTTGAAGGGTTGTTTTGTAATTGTTTAAATTATGTTGACAAAGTTAAAAAGTTTAGGGTGGGTTGTCTATTTTTCAAACTAATGGGCTTGTATTAAATTATGTTCAAAACTAAAGGACTTGGATGAAATTTATCTTTTAATTTAAACGCTTTTGCATTTTAAACCAATTACTTTCCATTTCACACTACAAAAGTTGAAGTTTGAATTTGATCCATTTACTATCTCAAGTCAACCAACTTTTTTTTCTTCTACCCCAATTTTAATGAATTAGTTGGCATATATTATTATCAATCAAAAGCTTATTTAAAGATAATATAAGGGTTCATTAAAATTTTGTAATTAAATTTGATCATGCAAATTTTTTATTTGATGATATGACATGCCAACATAAATCTTTTGAGTCATTTCACACAAAATTTTGTTTTTAATGAAAAATATTAAAATTTGTAAATCTAGAGCTTTAAAAAATTAATTATTATTTAATTAAAATAAAATATGATTTGTTTAGACTTATTTGTGCCACATGAAAGAAACTAAGCCACCTCATCAACATGTCAACTCATCATCAAAACATTTTGTTATTTGATTTAAGGTAAAATTTTAAAAGGTGTGATCAATTTTCCTTAATTCTACATTTAACTACAATTTAGGGATTAAATTTATTAGAGTGTGTTTGAATGAAAATTTTTGAAATGAAGTTAACACAACAAGTCAAAATAATAGTATTGGTAATTGTATTGCTTGTATGGTTTTTTTTTTTTAATTGACTATTGGAATTTGACGTGATAAAAAATTAAAAAATAATGATATTAGAAATAAAAAAAATAAAAAGGAAATGCAATATTACAATATGTAAGAATATATAGATAAATATATTTTTTCAAATAAGTTTTGAAGTTAGAGTTAAAATGTTTTGTTTTTTTAACTTTTGTGTTTCAATTTGCCCATGTGTGGAAGAAATAGGAATACCATCTATCTGTTCCCCCTCCCCCCAAATACCACATATTTATTAGGTCAAGCCCCATTAATCAACATTTCAAATAAGTTGAAATATAATCAAATCATAAATTATTTACACAAAAGATAAAAATTTAATGTAGTTCAACACGTAACTTGCCTACATTCATGAATGAGAACAAATATTTATTAGTTGTAGACAGTTACAAATACATTAACATTCAACTCTATCCAAACATTCATAAATTAATATAAGTCTAAGCAAACACTCACCAAACCATGGACACTCTCATTCTCCCTTAATCTCATGGAGCAATTCCAAATCAAACATTTTTACTTGCAGATACTCTCATTCTCCTCTAGTTTTATAAAGCATTTACACATTAAACATTCAAACAAATACACACATATACACCCATAAGCACTCTCAATCTCTATTAATCTCATAGGGTATCTATCCCATAAAATCCTACAACCCTCTTTATATCTTTCTCTCATACCTTATCCAATAAAGACTTATAATATTTATAAGCTTATTAACTTTCCCACCAAGATACTTTTCCTATTAGAATTCTTACTTTTCAACTGGTTTTATCCATTAAACAATACAAAGCCACTCTTGATAAAATCTCATATGAATCTCTTACCAAATATTTTGAAATTTGAGTCAATATTCCCAAATCTTTACATTGACTCAACTTTCACCAAATCATTGTTATTTATACTAAACATGCTTGACTCCATATGTAATAAAAGTCTTACATTAATCATCTTGTCCTATGTATCTTTATCTTATTTTGCATATTTATCCTCATAACAACATTATAATCTTCGATTGTAAATTCAAATCATATCTTGCTTTGATGCCTAATGTATGGTATCCCATTTACATTTACATTTGAACCAAAACTCTGATATTACTTGTTAGGTCAAGTCACATTAATTAATTTTGAAACAAGTGAAAGCATAATCAAATCTTAAATCATTCACATAAGATACAATAATTTAACATAATTTGATATTTAACTTGCCTACATCTATAAATAACAGAAAATAGTCGTTAATTGTAGAGAATTATAAACATACCAAGATTCAACCCAATCAAATATACATAAATCAATCTTAACCCAAACAAACACTTCCCACACTCATGGACATTTTCATTCTCCTTTAATCTTATGGAACAATGCCAAATAAAACATCCATGCCCATAACCATTTTCATTCTTTTCTAATTCTATAGAGTATTCACAATGACGAATCTAGGATGTATATATAATTATTAGGGGCAAATTGTTAAATAATATTTGTTTACACTCTTTTATTTAGAATTATTATAACTTAAAATAAATTTCATTAACACATAATATCAAACACCTTTAGAAATATAAAATAATAAAATATTTGTATAAAAAATTCAATTTTATAAACTCTTTACAAGTTTTTTTTTACTTTTTTTCATATATAGTTGATTTAGAAACAAATTTTGATCCAAAGTTCAAAGAAATGCTATCCAAGTTCACTTTTGGTATGTCTTAATTAAATAAATTCATTATACAAGCCATAATAAAATTGCCACATAACTTCAAAATATAAAAAAGAATTTGATAACTTAAAAAAATATTAAATCTTTATATCAATTTATCAAAATTAATCTAAATCTAAGAACTTAAAAAAAATTCAAATTATCAAATAAGCTTACTTGATTAAAAAATTAAAAAAAAAGGTCCCAAAGTGTTTTTTTTTTTTTGTAAAAATCTTATTTCAGTATTTACACTAAATTAATTTCCACAAGTTTTTTCTTTTAGTTAATTGCTTGATTACTAACACATAGTTCTCTTTTCTTTTTTCCATTACAATTTTCTTTCTTTTTAAAGTTTTAGAGTTTTGTTAACTTTTTGAAAATGTTTTGGAGTTAGCTTCAACTAATGCCAAATGAAATTATTATATTAATTACTAATAATAATTTTATAGTTAAATTGAGACCATTACTTTGCTCAATTACCTTTGTTTTATTTTATTAATACATTTATATACCTTTCACTATTATAAAAGGCTCATACTTTAATTTTTTTTAATAATTTAGTGGGCAAAAAACAAGAAATTAAAAATTTTTGGTTTTTTTAAATAATTCTACTTTTTTTTTTAGATTTTAGTGGGGGTAAACTCTAAGAACCATTAAAATTTTGGGTAACTTATTAATGTAAAATGTATTTTCATATATAATGGTGGAGGCAGCTGCTCTTATCGTCTATGCATCTTTGAGTATCCACACATCAAACATTCAATTACACACATATGGCTCTTTCAATCTCTTTTAGTTTTAAAAGGTGTGAAACTCTATAACCTTCATACATCTTTTTCTCACACCTTATCCTATAAAACTCTCACTATTTATAATTCTAGTAACTTGCCACAAGAATTACTTTCCTCTTAAAATTATTACTTTTCAAGTCTTTTTATTCATCAAGTAATATTTAATTAAACAAAAAAAAATCTCAAATGAATCTTTTATTAAATCTTTTAAGGTTTGAATTAATATTCTCATAACTATTTAGGTGAAATTTGAAAAGAAAATTTTGGCCTTTATATTTTCATTTAAAGTTCTCCTTAAAATTTTAAATTCCTTATTTAAAATTACCAAACAAGTTTATTAGAATTTTAAAAATCCCCATTGAAATAAAAAATTTTCTTCAAATTCTCCATCCAAATGCACCCTAAAATTGAAATAGAAAGACTAAATTTTAAGATAGATGAGACTAATTAAATTCAAATTTCAACCAACTATAAACTATTTTATGTTGTTACCTAAATAAACAAATCTTTTTTTTGTAATTTCACATGTTAAAAAAATCTAAAATCGAAATTTGTACCTAAAAATTTGTTGTTGATGTAGGAATGCACAGCATGTCCAAATGACTCAATGTGAAACACAGGTTCTTCGCATGATGAATTGGGTTGAAAGCTGTTTCAACATGTCAATTATTAACATCCATTCATTCATTCATTCTCATAAATATATTTAATTTGATCAACAAAATCAAGTACTTAAGATATAAATATATATATATATATGTATGTATCTTTAAAATACCTTAATGTATACCAAAGGTAATCAGATTTATCTTTGGTTGTATTCATATGCTCTAATAATGAATTTGATTGAAGTGAGGTATCTGAAAAGTTTGGGATGACATCTCTGAATTCTTCCCAACTATCAACTGCATTAAATATTTTGCTTGATGTGGCTATTCTCTTGTTTGGCTTTGTGTTTACCTAATATTTTAAGCAACAACAGATTTATCTTATTTCATAAGATATTGTATAAATTTTTGCATGGAACAAAAATCAAAAGTAACCTACAAAAATAAATAAATTATTTACATTTTAAGCTCTTATGGTACGTTTGGTTCATGAAATAGAATAAAGGGAAATGAAATAGGTATTATGTGGAAATAACAAAGAGAATGAGTATAAAAAATAATTATTATGATGTTTGATTCATTAGAATGGAATATAATAGGAATTAGTATCAACATGTTTGGTTAGTTTAAAGACTTTGGTTCAAATAAGCTTAAAATATTAGGTTACCCTTTATTAAATTAATTACAATTTATTATAAAAAATAATAATTAATTAATAAAAAGTCATTATTAATTAATTCATTTCTATCTTATTATTAATTATAATTAATTAATAAGAATTAATTATTAATAATAAAAATTACCATACAAAAATTAAATAAATTATTAATTATTTATTTATTTAAAATTATTTAAAATATTTTGATTTTTTCTTTCTTTTCTTTTTTTTTCTTTCTTTCCTTTTTCTCTCCTTCCTCTATTTCTCTATCTCGCTCCCCATTTTTCTTTGTTTCTCTCACTTACTAAAAACTATAACCTTTTTCTCTAAAAATCTAATTGGCCTCAACCATTGTTACTGATTGATACTGATTATTGCTATCTGCCATCGTTGACTGGCTTTGATTTCCACCATATTTCACCAATATACTCATATAAGCCTTTTTTCCAAGTCTATCCACTTGAATTTTTAAAACCACATAGATCTTACATCTAAGTCCATGGTTTTCACCTTAAAAAACAATGTTTTTCACACTTCAAATTGTCTGAAAATGGAATATGTCTCTTCCCTCACCTAACTCTTTCACCTTGTAAGCTTAACTTGAAATTTCTCCAACCACTATCGACCTCTTACCTCTTTCTTTTTCTTTCACTTTCATTTTTTTTTTTTTACTTTTATGTTGCTTTTCTCATGGGATGATACTAGTTGTTATTTAATGATTTTCCTACCATTGATGGTGTAGAGACCTTAATTTATCTAGGGTTTAAAATTTTAAAATTACTTTTAGGGATGTATTGATTTTTTATATTATTTGCACCTAATTGGGTCTAAGCTTAAAAACCCAATTTTTTTTTATTATGTTAAGTTTTTTATTATTTATTTTTATTTATCTTTATATGTTATTTATCTTCATTAGTTATTTTTATTTAGTAATTTATTTCTTATACATCTTTATTTATTTCTTAATTATCTTTTCTTTGTTTTTTTAAACAAAAAAAAAAAAAGTTAAAAAGAAGTATGGATGATGATGAATTCTTAGAGGATAGGAATTCATTCAAATTAAGGGCTTTGTACTGAGATCAATTTCTTTGTCAGATACATAATGTGTTGATATAATTTAAAGAGTTTGATTTTGAAAAAATAGGTGAGTATGAAGATGAAATTCTAAGATTATTTTGAAGATAATTTTTAGAATAATCTTTAATTAAGTTAGAATCCTTATCAAACTAGGATTAAGTCCCTATAAATACCAAAAAATTCATCACTTACTAACACAACAATCACAAGAAGAATTTGATAGCCAAAAAGTTTTAGGCAATTAAGTTCAAATTTTAGGCTTTTTCCAGTTATCAACGATTTTCTAACAAGATTTCTAGATTGTCGTGACATTTTTATGAGCATTGAAGTTCCCAATGGAAATTTTGATGATATTTATAGATTTCAATGATGATTTATAATTTCTCCAAGCATCAACCCAATTGTAGACCTGATCTGTAGCCTCATGACCCAATAACCTGTATCTCACAAGTCTCGAGCCAGTCATGCATCGAATCGCCAGGTCATCATTGGTTTTTATAGCCAAGCCACTATCAAGCTTGAGCCTAGCCACTAACCTTTTTTGGGTCTTTTTTTTGTTATTTATTTAATTTATGTTATGTAAATTTTAGTTATTCATTTTGTTTAAATTAATTTTTGTCAGAATTATTTTTTTAAATAAATCCATGAATCCTACTAAACTATTGGAAGATTTTTGTGATTGTCATAACATATAACTCCATGGACCTACAGCTAAACATAGATTAAATGAGTCACCAACAATCTTTTTTGTTTAGGCTACCTAACTGAATTTGTCCCATTTAAAGAAGGGTCCTATGATTAACTTAGGTATCTTTAAATAGTAGATTCTAGTCTACAAAATCAAATTTTAGGTTCGATAGTGCAGTTATGCGTGAGGAAAGTTATAGTATCCTTACAGAGCCCATCTAAAAGAATGTTCAATTTAATTTCAAATCATCTAAGCGATAAAGTCTCTTTGTAATTTTACCAAACAATTTAATTATTAAAAATTATTCTTAAAATTACTCCAATAGTTTGGTAGCAATTTAAGATAATTTTTTCACCTAATGAGTATTTATGAATACTAGTGTCTCACTCTGAAAAAACTCCATCTTCGGATTCGTTTTATTCTTTTCCTTTGTAAAAAAACTTTTATTTATGAAAATTATTTATTTTCAAAAATATCTTCCAATATGTTAGAAAAATTTTTTGTCAAAAATTATCCTCTAATATATTGGTAAGATTGAAAATATATTTGTTTGTGAAAACAGTTTATTTTTAAAATATCTTCCAATATGTTGGTAAGATTTTTCGTCAAAAATTATCTTTCAATATATTTGTAGGATTTTAAAAAATATTTTTCAAGAAAATCATTAAGTCCTCTAATAATTTAGTAAGATTTGATTCAAGATTTAAATCTGCCAATAGTTTGGTAGGATTGAAGAACATTTTTTTTTATTTTGAGAGCCTTTTTTTTTTTAATTTTGAAAAAAAATCAATTAAAATATACAAAAATTATCATACAAAAAGCATCATGCAAATAATGTAAATATCATAAATAATATAAATATATCATACAATAATATAATATATCATGCAATTAATATAACTTATCATGCAATTATAATAAAGCATCCTACAAGTAATTAGCAATCATGCAATATATATATATATATATATCATAAATAAACTTACCAAATTTGTTCACATTCTTTCAAATTTAATTAATGATTTAAATAATTAAAAAAAAAGAAAATATAAAAATAAAACCAAAAAAGAAATCAAAAGAAAATCAAATTAAAAAAAAATGAAATAAAAAACCTACGCTCCAAGTCAGATTCAAAGCGAGTAGATGCGCGAGTTCACTTTGGTCAGACAGATCCTCGCCTATTTTAAAATGACACCGTACAGAGTTGGTACAAATGTTAGCTTTTAGTGTTTGTCTTCAAATCAGTCTCTCCACTCTCTCTCTAAAAACTTTCTCTTTACTTTCTTTCTAGAGATTCAACGAAAAATTCAAACCCTCCCAAATCCAAGCCAAAAAACCTAGAACATGGTGAGAATCCCAAATTCCAACTACCGTGAAATTCTCTAGCCGCCATAACCCTTACCGTAAAATTTAAACTTTCATTGGAAAATTCATATATAATCCCAATAATTTAAACCTAAATCCAAAATTTGAAATTTCTTCAGAAATTTAAATCACAAGCCTAAATCAAACTAAATACAAAGCTAAATCAAAGCCCAAAATTACAAAACAACTTTCAAAAGAATACTAGAAAACCTAAAAATTTCAAAAACAACCCCTAATCTAGAAATTTAAAATTTTCAGGAATTCGCAAGCAATTTCAACCAAATTGAACTAGAATGCCAAGACAAAATCTAGAATCCAAAATCAAAAATAAAAATTCCTAAACCTATTGCTAGAATTTGTTATGCCTTCTATCCCCTTATGATTTTTTATCTAATTTTTTCTATGATTGTTCTCCCTTATTTTATAGGGATTCAACTCCTTTTTATTCGAAAAAGTTCAACTGATTGATTTCAAGGATTTGATTTTTAGGCAATTTGATTTCTTGTAATTTTCCTTCTTCATGGAGATTAGGATTCCCAAAATCATAAAATCCATTAATTTGTAATGATTCAATTTCCAAATTTGATGCTCAGATTTCAAACTCGTTTTCCCTCTTTTTTTTTTTTTACTTTTTTTTACTTTTGACTTTTGATTTTTAATTTTTAATTTTTTGACCTTTTTTGAAAAATAATATTAAACCAAAAATAAGGTCAAATTAAACTTAAAATTAAAAATTTTCCTATTAAACCTAAAGCTTCACAATCGAGCTCAATTAATGGTCAAAGCCCATTTTTTATCTCGAAAAAATTTCCAAACAAAATGGGGTATCTACAATGAGTTCAAAAATGTTTTTCAAATTATAAATCTTACCAAGTTATTGGAAGATTTCATAAGAAAATTTAATTAAAAATGCTTTCAAATTAATCCTACCAAACTATTGAATAATTTAAATTTTAAATTAAATCTTACCAAACTATTGAAGATTTAATAATTTTTATAAAAAAATAAAGTTTCTAATCCTATCAAACTATTGGAGGATTTAAATCTCATAATTAAATTTTTAAATAAAAATTCTACCAAACTATTGGAGGATATGTCTCGAAATAAAATCTTACTAAGCTATTGGAAGATTTATTGATTTTAAAATAATTAATTTTTTGAAAACACATTAATGAATCCAACGATCAGGCCTTTTCAAAGTAAGACACTAGTCTCCATAAATACTCTTGAGGTGAGAAAATTTTCTTAATTTGCTATCAAATTATTAGAGTAATTTTAAGATTAATTTTTAATATTAAATTTATTTGATAAAATTATAAATATGTTTTAAAGCTTAGATAATACAAAATCAACTGGTACCATCTTTAAATAGATATTATAGGGATGCTATAACTTTCCTTATATATAATCATATTTCTGAACCTAGTTTTAATTTCGTAAATTATAACCTTTTTTTTTTTAAGGAACCAAAGTCAAACTTAGAACTTCTTTAAAAAAAATAAATTCATTAGATGATCAATCACACTTAAAAAAAAAATTAATGGTAAACCCTAAATTTGTGTTTAATGATAAGATTATGAATTTATACATTATGACAGATGGTGGTCAAAATACTATCACTTGTTTGATTTTGTGATTTTGTATTTGGAAAATTAATAAAATATTTGGGGTAAAATGGGGTTTAAAACATATTTGGAATCGCAAATAACAGGGGAGGAAGAGAATGATGATTTCGGTCAAACCCGGAATCGACCAGTTGGTAAGAATTTTCTTTTCCTTCCCATTTTTGAACTAAACAAACAAATAAAGGGCCAGTTTGAAAGCAGTCAAAATAAACCCGGAATGGAATTCGAATTCCTATTGAACCAAACATGATAATTTTTGTGAATCTCATAAGAAAATTTGGCTTGAATACTTAAACAATGTTTATTTTTTATTAATTGCAATACTTAGAAAATTTGGCTTGTATACTGAATATATAAAGCTATTATAAATCTTTGTAGCAAAAAAACATTTCACCTTCAATTATTTTTACTATAATTTTGTAATTGTTTAATCAGAGCAATAAATTATATAAGGTCCATCACTTATAAGTTTGGTCTTCATATTTACAATATTTTAATAAACCTTATATAATTATAAACTATAATAATTGATTAATTGTAATCCAATAATTATAAGTGATATATACTCATGTAATAGTGCATGGTTAGGGAAGGATGACTACACATGCAAATCTGTTACTTAATATTTAACTTGGGCTTTTATATTTTATGTATTATCAGTATATAAATTATATATATATATATATATTGTTAGTAAATCGGATAATACTACATCATTAATGAGTGAATCATATAATTCTACCTCATTAATGAATTAATTTTAAAAAAAATTAATTTTTTGTATATTTATTTTAAAACTCGATAATTACTCATTAATAAAAAATATCATCTGATTCACTTACAGTGTGTACAATCTATACACTAACAGTGCATAAATAGAAACTCTTAACTTGGTTTATTAGATTAATTGAAATAGTTATTTTTGTTTTATTGCATAATCTTTGTATTTATCTAGTAGTGATTTTTTTAAAAAATTTTTTTAGGCTTTATCATTTGGATATGTAATCTTTACGACTCAATGCTTGATGTAAGGCAAGTCAAGTTTAATAAAAATTGTTCACGTCGAGTTTTTCTCATTAAAAAACTGTCATTTTCAAATTCTGACTATAAATTCGCACATTTCCTGGAAGTTAAGGTTCTACCATAAAGCCTAGGGAAAGAGGAAGGGGTGTGGAAAGGCCAGTTCGAATCAAAGAAATAAATTTAGTTGTTTCTGTGGGTGATCATACTATAAAACCATAACTAACGTACCTTTGCAGTGTTGAAAATTATATTTTGACAGTCTTGTAGAATGCTAATCGACTTGGGCAACAATTCGAACGAATTGTTTCGGAATTGCACAGTAGCATTACTTGTGGAATCATTGTTTACAAGAAACGCAACACATCCTCCACTTTCTTCTTCAAAAACATAAGCCTAAACCAAAATAAAAATAATAAAAAAAAGAGGTCATTGGCTTATTGTTGATAGTAATTTCTAAATAATTCTTGTAAAACAATTTGCAGCAATGGATATATATACACATAGATATGTATATATTATTGGGTAAAGGAATTGATCACCTGTTGAAATTGACCTATTGAGAAATTGGTTTGCACTCCTTGCAGTAAAGGCGTAGAGCAATTCTTTATCACAGTATGCAATTCCTTAAGATGTCCCCATTTTGGTTGTCTTAGCAAACCTGTAGTACTCATTCCATTTAACAAATTCATTTTTCAAATTTAAAGATCAAAACTGTTAATAATTAATGCTGGTGAAGGGTCTTAATGAACAGCTTGAAATATTGCAAGAAACTAGGAAAAATAAAACTTCAATCTCACCATATTCATCAAGCGGAGCTTCATCATAGTAACTTGTTATCACATAAGCGGATGCTGTCCTTCCGAAATTTGTTCCACCGTGGTACTACATTATAAGGGTAGTTTTCAATTTTCATCAGGAAATTAATGTTAGATACCAATTTTTTTTTTTTTTTAAAAGGAGAGTGGGAGAGTTGTTTTAATCAGGAAAGTCATGTGAGATATAGAAAAATACTAACACATTCATCCACAATTTCCCTAAACTGTTTTTTTCTTCTTTTGCTAATTAAGCAAATTTAATGTACTTACCATGTAATAGTTTATGTAACATCCCCTTTTTGCTATGAAAAGTGTAACATGAAATGCAATATCTTGAGCTGATCTTATGTATGGCTCTCCGCCATATACTTGATAGCTTCAAGAAAGATTATAAGTTAGATGCCATAATAAAACAAAAAACAAAAAACCCAAATTTCTTTTTCAAGTATATTCTTTAGGTATGAGTAATATTCAAAACTTATACTTTTTATAAGCAATATTAAAAATCTATGAGCATTAATAATTTAGGATGTCTTAGTTTTTTTTTTTTTTTTTTGTGTCAATCATAACACGTTATGACTAAAGTAAAACTTTCCTGTTATAACTACTTTTAATTTTACATGGTAAAGCAATGAAGAGTTTGCCACTAAAAAACTACAACTTTCATGAATCGTTATTAGAACAAATGAAAATTCTCCTGTTATACTCTTAGTATTATATTAATTTTTACAAATAAGTGAAGAGCACATTTAGATTTTTTTTTTTTTTAAGAAAAATAATATTCAAATTGAACTTTTTGAGTAGAGTGATACATGGGCTTATTATTTGAATCGAATACTTAAGGACAATTATTTAGATTTTTTAAATCAATTGAGCAAAATACACAGTAAAATTATTTAGATCATTTAAATGTAAGATTTTTATCCAAACCTCTATTAATATTTATCACTTTCTGATTGATTCTAAGGTATTTGAGAGATTTTTGTCTATGTAACTTTAGTTTATATACTATTAAATTTTTATTTTTTTTTTTATATATTCGATGTTCTATAATTTTTAATGGATAAAAATTTAAAAAAAATCATGAAAAGTAATTTTGAAAGACAGAAAAATAAGAAATTTAAATATTAAAAAAACCAAAACATAATTTTGAAAAACTAAAAAAATGTGGACAAAAAATGTGACTGAAGAAGTATCATTAATTTATCACTTGAAGTAAGTGGAAGTTATTTTTTTTCCTTACTTTTAAGAACTAAATAAAAGCATAGTAGAATTTTGTAAAAGCTTACAAAGATGTCCAATTTTCTGTCCACATGGATGGCTTGTTGACTGAGTTGGGTCCTACAAAAGTTTCTCCACACCTCATACCATTACATGTATTAATCTGCAAAATAAAATTTAACAATCAACATATATATATATATATATATTCATTTTACTTTTGCCTATAAATAAATTAAAAACATTAATTTCTAAAGAAGATAGGAGATTGAATATATAGGAGCAACCACTGGATCAGGAGCATCAGTTTGCTTGCACATCACCCATGGTACACCAGTTCCAAGGTCGACTGCCATTTTTGCTGCCCATTGAACATAAGCAGCTCCTTTTTCATGGAAAGCTGCTTCGATATTTTGATATTCATTCTCAATCTACATTATAATTAAATTTTGTTAGTTTTGAAAATATAAAGTTTTAGATGTTTTGGAACTTAAATTATGATGATTAAATTGATTAAATTACCTGTGAGAGTATTATTGGGCCTCGTTGGGATGCATATAATCCCTCTGACTTCATCAGGTTTACTATTTTTGTAGTAAAGTTTTGCATGTAGTACTAAAACAACCAAAATATAAGTAATTTATAAATCATTCAAGTTTTAATAATTACAAGTTTTGAAGATGAACATATTAGACAACAGATGATATATACTTGTATTTTAAAATTAAACAAAATAGTTTATTTATGTTGTATACTTCATAGTAGACCTGCTCATGGGTCAGACGGCTCGTTCGAACCAAAAATCCATCCAAAATTTTAAAGGATTTAAATATAAATATTAAGCTCATTAAAAAGGTCTAGACAAATAAATGAGGTCTAAAAAATAATAAGGTCGAGTTTAAGTTTCACCATTTAAAGCCCAAGCCCAATTCAAAAAATAAATAAAAAATAATTTTATTATAATGGAATAAGACCCATTTGCTTTATTTTTTATAATAGACAAAGTCTATTCGTTTAATTACTTATAATAAAATAAAGTCTAATTTTTTATTCAAAACTTTAAAACAATAATATAATTTGAAATTACATTCAACAAAATTAAAATGAACCCATGCTCAAATGATTCATAAATTCAATTAAAATTAATTAAATTAGTTAAACTAATAATTTACAAAAAAAAAAAAATGAAAAAATTTATTTTTCTCAATTTTAAATAATTGTATTTTGGGCAAGCTTGAATTTTATTATTACACGTAGGAATGGACTTGGTAAAAAATAAGGCCCGAAAAGTCAAGTCGGACCAGGTCTGGGTTTGTTTAAAATACTAGAATATTATGCTACCTTAGCTCGGCCCATGAGCAGCATTACTTTACAACAATTCAATTGGCAACACTTTTATGAAAGAAAAAAAAGAAATTAAAGAGAAAAAAAGTTGACAAACCAAATATGGCTAATAAAAAAAAGTTTAAAATGAAATATTGAAAATTTAAATTTACAATTTTTAATTATTCCTATTATCCATGAATGCATTAGTGTGCTTAATTCACCAAACTCGATAATAAACTTTTAAGGTAATATTTGGTATTGTAACTTTTAAAGTAATGTTTAATATCGTTTTCATAATTAGTATAATAGTAATCTAATAATTAAGATATTATTATTATTATAGTGATTTTATCACTCGTAATTTTAAATCGTTTTATTTAATTAATAATTATTAATTCTTGAAAATTATAAATCATTATATTTAGTACTATTAAAATTTAAATATTATTTTGTTTGAATACTAAAATAATCATATTGTACATAAATTAATAATTTAATATTGTTTAAGATAATAATTTGTAGATACTTATTTTATTTGAAAAAAATTGACTATTGTTTCAAACAAATTTAAAATGATTCTTAATTTTATTCAAATCCATTCGAATATTTTAATTCAACTTATTGAATTATTCTCATATTAGGTATGATTGGATTTTGTTTTAAGTCAAATTTTCTTAGGTTAAAAATTAAAACGTGATCCATTGCTTGAGCTAAAAGTTAAAACTCAATTTGCAAGCTTAAAAACTCAAATTGATTAGGAGATTCATATCAAATTTTAGAACCCAATCTCACTAAACCCAAAAATAATCAACCAAAAAAATTAATAATAATATAATAATAATTTATTTTACTTTATTTTTTCTTTTTCTCATCTTTTTCTCCTTTAGTTTTCGTGCATTAATGCATTGTCACCGCCAAAGCACTTAAAATCCATTTATATCCTCAACTAGTTGTGGTGTGGTGTGGTTAGCACCCTCAATTACACTAAAATCTCATTTAAATCACTTGACTGTGATGTGATGAAGTTGTTTCCATCGTGCAACTATCTCAACTTCTCACTAGAGCTCAAAGATCTAGTAAAGATTTTAAATCTTCAATTGTAGCCTCAATTCCCATTATATCCATGCTTTCCTTTTTATCTCTCTCATATTGTAAAGACGAGTGCTCATACCACATCATTTTTTATTTTTATTTAGCATTTTTAAATAAAATTTTTAATTTAATATAATAAATTTTTTTATATAATTATAGGTTAAACTAATTAATAAAAACTAGCAATTGAATAAATATGTAAAATAAACAAAAAATAAATTGAATAAGTAATTTTAATAATTTTTAATTACTTATTAACTTTAAAAATATTAAATAAATTAAAATTTTTATTATATAAAAATTTTAGTTTAATGTCTTTAACAACATTTTCTTTTCTCATTATTCTTCATTTCATCATTATCACTATGTTTATATTCAAATACATATCTTACTACTGATTTTAATTTTACCATTATAGTAACAAATCTCATATCTACTACTATTTTTAATCTCACTGCCCATGCAAAAAAACCCTTAGTCCACCATCGTACTAGTTGTGTTGCCACCCGTCTTACTTTACAATAGAAATTTTGAAAGGAAAAAGGCATCAACAACACTTAAAATTCTTCTTCAACTCAAGAAATCTAAGATTTAAACATCAAATGGCTTTTTAAATTAAGCCTTTCAATCGCAATATAAGGGACATAAAACCAAGCAAGTAGAAAATTTTTTTCCTACCTCTATACCATCGAACCCTCAAACAAACATAGAAAAAAGTTTATTTTTTTAAAAAAAACTAACAAAACTCACAGCCATGTACAAACCCCCATTATTGATCACCAAAGCCACCACCACTACAAAGCCTTTCTCCACCACACCGACACCACCAAAACCACAAAAATACTAACCCCCTAACCCACTTAACACCTTCATAACAACTTAGAAAGCCACCCATCAAACTATTAAAACCTCTTCAACCTACAATTATAACATTTCCTAAAAATAAAACACAAAGGCTACAATAAAAAAAAACCTAGCAAAAAAAGTTTTTACCAATTCTCGAAAAAGAGAAGCTCCATAAAACACAAACAACCAAAAAGATCATAAAAAAATAAGAGAAAGAAAATAAGGTTTCATTAAGGTTTTGGATTAGGATTTCAAGGGGCTTTGGGATTGTTTTTGGAGTGTAAGAAGGCTTTGGTATAAAGTAAACATAGTTGAATTTGAAGGCATTAGGATCAACAGAAAATGGGTATTTTGGGTGTTAAAGTCGACAAGTTTAATCTTAAATCTAGGCCTTTAGGGCTTATTTTGGAAAAACTATTGGGATAAAAAGGAAAAAAAAAAAGAAAGAACGATTATTTTGGATAACTTTATGTTAGAATCGATACCGGTGTATGGCAATTGGTGCAACTAATAATGATGATAACCTCAAAAAGTGTTGATTTTTATGTTTATGGTGGTGTCAATTTGAATTGAGAAAGTTAGAGAGAGAATAAGTAATTTAGAAAAACAAATGGAAAAATGGAAATGAAGGGAAAAAAGAAAAGGAAAATTTTGGATATTTTAATCATTTAGTGAAGATGATATACTTTTTGATAAGAGGAAAAGGGAAAGTTTAGGTGCATATTTACTGATCCAACCCAGACTCATGATAGCTCGATCCGATCAGCCTAAGCAAGCAGCCATTAGTATTGGGCCACTTGTTTTTAAGCTTATCCAACTAGCTTTGAAAGGCTCATAAGGTAGGTTAGTAGCTGTTTTAGCCTTGAACGTTTTTCTTAAATTAAGCTTAGTCCAAGTAAAATTTATGTTTTATTATTATTATTATTATTATTATTATTATTATTAATGTGTACATGTTTGAAAAAAAAATGATTTAACAAAACCTAAATAATTGAATGATTATAAAATTACCGTGCATGAGAAAATATATCAATTCATTTATATATTTATACCTTTGTTTTGCATAATGTGTACTTTAATAAATGTCGAAAATAAATAAAATTATTACGATAATAAAATTCTATAAAGTTACAAATGGGTGATTTTCAAAAAAATTTTAAATGAAATTTTTTTAAAAAAATTTTACCAGAATAATGAAAATTTAGATTAAAAATTTTAATAAATGATAATTGATATTTGCTTTCATGCAATAATAAAAATAAAAATAAAAATGAGAAATTTTAGAAATAATAAAATAATTTTTTGCAATTAAACTTTAAACGTCTCATTAAAGTAAAAATTTCTAATGATAGAATTTGAATAACTCAAGAATGTTTGATTTTTATAGAATTTTTAGGTGAGAAATATTTCTAAATATTTTCATAATGGTAGAAAATTTAGATATATTTTCAATAAAAATAAAAGAATTAAAATAAAAACTAGAAAAAGAAAATTAAATAAATTAATAAAAATATTTAAATTCCATGATGAAGCCTTTTTACGAAAATCATTGGGATTTTTTAATATTCTTGAAGTGAGAAAGAATTTATTTAAAATTCTATCATATTAATGAAGAAAACTTAAGTCCTATTTTCCAATATTTAAATAAAAAAATTGAGATAGGAATAAATTTTTCATAAAATTTAATAAATTTGACAACAGAGTTTTTTCAAGAAAATGAATGGATTTCTTAAATATTTTCAAGATGAGGAAAATTTTAAAAATTTTGCCAAAATGGTGAGGAAAACCAAAATTTTTCTAATAAACACATAATTATTAGAAATTAAAAACAAGCCTCTCCAACAAAAAAATTAACGTATCTGATGACGGAGCTTGTTCAAGATCATGGAAACAATTTTTAGGAATTTGGCCAAAACAATAAAAAAAACCTAAAAATTTTTCAATATTTAAATGATAAAATTTAATCAAGATTAAAAATTAGAACTATATTTTTCATAAAATTCAATTCGATGGTAAAAACTCTTTAAGGAAATGAATGGGTTTTTTTTAATATTCTTTAGATAGGAAAATTTTCTAAAGATTCTACTAGAATAATAAGAAAACCCTAAATAATTTTTTAATATTTAAATAATAAAATTTAATTAAAGCAAAAGACTATTTAGTTAAGATCATTTTATGATAACAAAATATTAATTGCTCTTGCAATTGGATAGATGTTGTGGAAATGCTAATTTTTCTCCACATATAACCATATCTGCAAATATAATTCTGTAACATAAATTGCATCCTATCCTTTTTAAAGAATCTTAATTAAAATTATAATTTCTTTGGAAATGATATATTTAATCTTATTGTCAATCACACATAATTAAAAAAATTTTGGTGGCGACTTTTTCTTTTTCACATCTGGCAATTGAGTTCACAAACTCAGACAATAGAGCACAATTTATAAAACGTTAATAATTATTCATTTGTTTCAAAATAAGGTATAATTATATAAATTATTAAATTAATAAATATATTTATTGATAGATAAATTAATTTTTTAATATATAATTTCCTTAAAATATTGAATTAAAAAATAAAATTAAATCTATTAAATCATCCTATACGATATTGATCATAATCATATAGAATTATTGAGATCTTATCAAACACCATAATATAATCAAGTAAAAATCATCATGAGATAATTATCTCCTACCAAACAACAGAAAAATGTGGTGGCATGGTATATAATCCTTTATGTCATCGCCATCTCCGTACGGAACTAGACAGAGAAGGAATAATATGAAAAAGAATAAGGATCTAAATTAATGTACCTTAAAAGGTTCGTTATCTGTTCGATAAACAATGCCAGGGACATCATGCAACCAAAATGGAAATCCCCTATAAAACAAACATTTGTCAATTCCAAGTCCAATAACCTAAGTTAATGAATGATAAAAGTGGTGAAGTTTATGAAAAGTGATGGAACTTACCCGTAAGTCCATTCACTTTCAATATACGGTCCAATCCTAAGGCAAGCATAGAGCCCTTGTGCTTGGATTTCTTTCATGAATTTCACCAAATCGTTTCTTCCACTAAAGTCGTACTACCAAATGCAAAATGTGCAAAATGATAAAATGATTTCATTACAGATACGTGCACACAAACATACTATCAAGCTGCGATTTATATATATATATATATATATATATGATTGCGTTATAAGTCTTTTACCTGACCAGGCTGGGGCTCGTGCTGATTCCAAAACACATAAGTTTGAATCACATCAACTCCTCCTTCCTTTGCTTTGGCTATCAAAGATGGCCACAGCTGCATAAAATTTTTTAATTAACTTAAATTCCATAATCTTCTCTTTCAACCAAAATGTTTAATTTCATTTTTAAGTGTTCTTCAACTAAATATCCTTTCAATATGTTAAGCTCATTTACAGACACCAATTAAATTAAGTAAGATCTACCCATTACATAGCTATTCATTAACATGGCAACCAAAAAATAAATAAATATATAACTCTAGCTGCGATCAAAGAACTCTAGTTCATTCTTTCAAAGAGTCCTTAAACTATGGGGAAAAAACGAAGGATACAAGGAAGGAATATAATATAGAGGGTTTTTTTTTTTTTGGTTAAAACAAAATACACCATTTGTTAAAACTTAAAATCATACAATTTTAACAAGCGTGGAATCATATATAACTAATACCACACACCCTAAATCTCACATGTGAGAGAAAAAAGATATAATATAGTTTTGTATGTAACCATTATCTAAACCTTTTGTTCTCATATCATGAAGAAGAAAAAAAAAAAAGAAATCTACATTTTTTTTTTTTTATAAAAATAAAGGCTCTATTGTATCTTCTTGTTCTAATATGAAGAGGATAAAAAAGAAATCTACATATTTAAGAAAAAAAAAATAAAGGCTGTACTATGTTAATGTTTTTGTTATTTGCTTTTTGTTTTTTTCGGAGTAAAAAAAGAAAAAAAAAACCACAATTAGATACAACATAAAATAAAAATTTTTTAAGTGGTCTATAGACTTATGGGCTTTGCTTTGAACAAGAATTTTCAAGCCCAAATTTGACCCAGCCCAATACCTATACTAATGAGTTCGCCAATAAAAAATGCTATACATCTTTTTCACCCGAACATCAAAATTCTTGCTCAAGATCAATAGACACGTAACATTCATGTATGACACTCACGCTCATTTTTATAAAATATTTTGCATTTTTATTTAACACATAACGTGCATATAATATAATTATGCTAATTAAATTCAAATGAGTTAGGTTAATAGTGTTAAAATTGAGCTAACAAGATAAACTAATCAAAAATTTAGGGTGCAAATTATATTTATATATATAATTTTTTTTTTCAGGTAGAAATTTGTCCATTTCACCATAGTTTGGTAACTATACCAAAGTGAAAGTAATTAACTCGAGTTTTAACTCCAAACCTTGTGTGTTCGCAATTGTTGAAAAATCTTGTTTCAGTCACGAGAATTTAGAACCCAAAGACAAAACAAGAAAAAAGAGACAAATTTTAAGAAAATGTTAGATTATTGTGCCAAATATGGACAAAACCTATTTGCAGAATGCAGTCGAAACCTCCAAATGAATAATGTGCCCGTGATCCACCTCAACTCAACCCCACTCATGCTTAGAATTTCCAGTCTGAAACGACTTGTTTTTTTGTTGAAAAAGAAAGAAAGCTGGAAAGAAAAGCGTGATATATGCTGCTTGATGTTGACATTGTTTGACATTTATAATAATAATAATAATAATAATAATAATAATACCAAAGTCTCTACGAGTGATGGGGGTTTGATTTTTCTTAAATAAAATTTTAATTTTAAATTTTATAAATAAAAAATTTATTTAAAAAAATTTATTTTTTTTTTATAAAATTTGATTCAATTTCAAATTAATTAATTAAATTTCAAAATAACTACAAAAGATGTCGGACAAAAAATTAATAATAATAATTCCAATAGGAAGAAAAGGCTAAAGCTCATTACCTCACCTCACTTGCTGTCCAGTTAACGTGAATTTCATTGTCTCTATATATGCGGCGTCTTTTCTTTACCTTTGAACAGCTCATGTGGTCTATGTGTAGATCAATTATAATTATAATTATTTTTATTTTATTTTATTTTTTGTATTATCGATATAATTTAAGTATATATGATTTGATTACAAATCAATACTCTTTTCATTTCAAATTAACTGTTCATGTTTTCCTAAGAAGAACGCTTTAATTTTAGTGTTATTATTATTTTTTTTAATAACACTGATAAACTTTTGTTTTAGTACCGAAAACCAAAAAATTATTTAAAACTAATACAGAATATAAAAAAAAAAAAAGTAATTTTTGTGGGTTTTTTCTTAAAACAATAAACCCATAATTTTGAAGGGCTGAAAAAAAATTTTGAAACAGATGGAATTATATTATTTATTATTTATGTATTACTATAATAATAATAACTTTAAGTAGATTAAAATATAAAGGATTTTGTCTGGGCTAATTAAAATGTGCGTTGCCCTACCCTCTAATTATTCTTATGCACATAAATAAATATATATATAATGTTTTAGTCTACTTAATTAGATTACTTTTTTTTTCTGAATATATATAATGAAATCTTTCATTAGTATCAACAATTTGATGCACGAGTTTCTATACTTGGGTGCTTTAGCAACTTGGCTAAAAGTCTGATCAGAAAATTTAATTATTAATTAACAAATGATAGCATAGGGTTGCCGAGGAAGACAGAAAAGAAAGAAAAGAAATAAGTCAGTATTGCGGGTGAGAAGAGAGATGAAGTTTATAATTACCTGAGGAGTGCTGCGAGGATAGTGAATAGAACCAGAAAATAGAATTTTCCTTTGGCCGTTGATGATTAAAGATCTTCTGTCGTAAGTGACATAATCTTCTCCCTTCACCCACCCTTCTCGGCTCATGCTCAGCACCAGTGTTGCAACAACTAAATATATCCACCCAACCATCTCTGCTTTATTTTCAGCTAGCTGTGGCCTTAATTTACAAACAAGCTATTTGAGCCAAATATTGCATACCCTCTCGTGGGATAATATTGTTAGGACAAAAGACGATCAGGTCACTTGCACTAGAATTGGTGGATAGCTAGGTTGGTCACCTTGGGCTCATATATGTGATGCATATATACTAGGGAAAAGGAAAGGATTGCTATTCTTGGAAGTATTCTTTTTTACAACCAACAAATATCAGTTTAAGCTTTTAGAATAATGAATTTGTATCTAATCTAACTCAATACGTATCAAAATTTATGTCTCGAGTTTGAATCTTAACACTCTCACATGATATCCTATTTTCATTAATTTGTTCAAAACCTCACAAGCAGTTCTTCTTTAATCACTCTTTAATTAGCATATCTTTTATACTTGAATCCGTGTGAAACTCATTAATTATCATCTGATTTGCACATAAGAAAGTGTATAAGAATTTTTTTCCAAGTATAATAATTGAATTCTTTCTTACCAACTTAAGTTGCTTAACAGATAATTCGGCCCTTGATCCATGAAAAAGCTCTAAAGAGCTAGCAAAAGCGTCTTGTGTTGTGGGCCAAATATAAATGCAGAGGATAGGATTGTGTTGTCATCTTGGCGTGGCTTGGATTCTAAGGTTTGATTAAATGTAGGAAACAAGACCAGCAATAAAACTTTAGCACCCCAAGCTACACCTTTTTCACCGGCTATTTAATTGTTACTTGTACGCCAACAATCTTGTCATAAAAGCCTACTTTTAAGTTGAAAACAATATGAGAGAATGCGTTTTTGGAAGATAAATTTTTGAAATGAAATATATCATAGGAAATATTGTATAAAAATTTTGGAGTCAGAAATTAAATCAATGCCGACGAGAATTAGTCTCAATGATAAAAAGAAGATTTTGGAACCTTCAAATATAGGTTCAATTAATCTTTATCATTAGTGGTTTTAATTCAACTTCATATAAGATTTTGTTTAGTTATATACTTTTTTAAATTAGTTTATTTTCTCTTCTCAATGATATCTTATATTTTGGGATCTATATTCTATTCTGGCCCCTTTATCCCAATAAACTTGTCACATTAATCGACTTGCTTTAGGAGCTTTCCGAGGCTAAAGCGAGAAGGCTAGGTGAATAGGGCTTAGTGAAAATCTGTCTCCGCCCCCCCGTGTTTTTTCTCTTCTTTGGCTTTTATCTGATCAATTGTAACATCGATCTAAAATTTTTTTCAGTATGCAGGGTGGCGTAGCATGACACTGGGCAGTACAAGATGATGGAGCAGGGTGTTGGGCTGACTTGTTGTATGCAGTGGCAAGACAGAATTGGTAGGGGCTCTTCCAAAAATCTGACTAAGCCCATTTTAATATAAGCCTTTTCATTGTGGGCCTACGCCCAACCTTAACATTGATAAGTACAGTCGCAATAAAGACTTTCCTTCCCCTTACTTCGTTTTCGCCGCAATCTTATTTTTTTGAATTGCATTGATGAGGATCAAAGTATTGCCTTTACAAAGTAGCCTAATTATTTTTATTATTTAAATAAAAGAAGCCGTAACCTAAGATAAGGGGAAATGCTTTTAAATTAAATTTTAAATTTAAAATTTAAATTTATTAGATATTATTTTTTAAATATAATTATGTAAATCATTTTATTTAAATTACAGATTCGATTATCTTCTCTTTTCAAGTTAAGATTAGATGAGGAAAACTGAAAAAGGGTTAAAATCTTATTATATTTATTTATGCAATGACCATACTCCAAAATTATTAAATGTGAGATTTGGTATCACAATTTCAATGTTTTCTTTCATGTATAGGGCAATTATACATCTATTATATAACTTCCAACTTCATGTAAGAATGAAAAGATTAGTTAATTAATATTTTTTACTTTTAATTTTATTATTATTTTTTCTTATATAATAAAGAGAAAATGAAATTTGAAGCTAAATAAAGAAATATCTTGATATGTTTACTTATATTAAATCAAATATTAGGATACACGATATTATAATTTTAAATTATACGTAAATGTATATAAAATTTGAGCTCAAAATTTATAGTAAGATAAATTTTAATCAAAATTTGTTTTAAATGGATATCAATTACTATGTTTTTATATGTCAATCAACATATCCTCATCTATTTCAGACAATATATATCCTCCTCTACTAAGAATAGGGTCCAACACTATTGTGCGGTGAGAATCCCTTGAGTGGAGCATCCAAAGGGTGCTTAAATTGATTGAATAAGCCCTAAATTGACAGTAGCTAGGAAATTTTGTAACAGCTACATTGTTTTAAGGAAATATCAGCATTTTATGAATAAAAAAGGGATAAAACCAACTTTTGGAACCCGATCTTTACACAAAACCAAAATTTAAAACTTCATCTTTCATTTGTACCAATTAAGGATACAAAGTTTCGAAGTTCTTCCAATTCAGACTTTTGTATTTTGTTTTAATAATTTTTAGACGTTATAATCTCTTTTAATAAATACAATTTTATTTTGCACCAAAATCTCATTATTTTGAGTTTATCTCTCTTAGTTGTATTTTTTTCAATTTAATCAAATTTGGTGGTCATGATTCAAATGGAATCCATGGTACTTATTTGAAGAGTTTATCTTAGTGGTCACCCTTTTGTAAAAAAAAATAAAAAACCTGAATTGGAAAAATATTGAAAACTTAGAAGGATACAATTGATTTTAATCATAAAAAATAGTACTTAATTATTAATTTTAATAATAAAAAATGGTACTTATTAATTAAGTTGAACGAAGAAATCAGTGGTTGCCACAAAAACGAAAAAAGGGAGGACGGAGCTAGAGAGTCAGTGTAAGAGCTGCCAGCGATACAGAAAAAGAAAGAAAACAAATAAAATCAAGGTCGGCGGGCATAAAAAACTACTTACCTCACAAGAAGCTTCCCAGAAATTTAAGTGACCAAATGTTCATTTCACTTGGACCACCTACGCTTCCTTACCTTCTACATTATCCCTATGCCTTTTCATGACATTGATGTTTTCCAGTAATATTCATGTTTCATTCACTTGTCTTTTTTTAATTTATTTTCAGCATCTCCAAAGGACGGCGGCCATTTTTGACATTGGTGATGGATTGCGATTGATTTAGATTCAAATGTTGAACAAAAGAATTTTGTAGTTTCATATAATAAGAGGAAAAAAAGACATTTTTAATCCTAAAAGTCATAGTACAATTTAAAAAAAAAATTACTAATTTGAGATTGGTCAAGTCTCAACAACTAAAATAATAAAAAAAATCCTTGAGTATTATATTCAAATTTATTATGTGTAAGTTTAATTTAATTTTTATGATTGAGTTTTATTAAATTATACGTAGTTATATATGTATAAGAATGATTATTATGATTATCATTGTGATTTTTAGTTTATTTAATTTGAGTCAATTACATATAATTGGTATTTAAATTTTAGCAAATTTTACAAATTGATATTTGAGAAAAATATATAATTTACATTTTAAACTTTTAAAGCAATGCCCTATCATATTAATCGGGACTTTAACACTGCAAACCTATCGACTTATATATAATTGATATATATTTGTCGTTTGATCAATATTATTATGTGATGCGTACAACACAAAAAACCATCAGCATCCTTGCAATGTGAATTAAAGATGATGTATTTATTATTAAGCTTGGATCGAAAATCTATCAATTGTTGGACGACCCATGGCATCCATCAAGTTTAAAAAAAAAAAAATCAATAATTAAGTCAGAAAAATACGCCAAAATTGAACAAAACTTATACATGATAAGACTTCAATATAAAACTTAAAAATTTCATAACCTAATTAATCAATATGGTGATTTTATTTTAGACAGCAATTCTTATTAAAATCTATTAATCATTGGTGATATTTTATAATATTTCATTTTCAACCATGACATTTAAAACTTAATATTGTATCTTCGATCATTAAAAATATTTTTGATTCATCCATTTTTTAATCACCTTTAAAATTAATAGAAGATCGTCAAATATACGCTCATGCATATTCCAACTAAAAAGTCAAATAAATCAAGCTTTTTTCACCTGAACGTCCAAGTGTGTGAGCTCACATAATTTTGTCCTGCGGACATCCACATAGACGTACACAGAGTGTTGAGCTGATAGAATCCATCAAATTTTAACCGCCATTAATAGATTAAATGAAATTTGAAACATTTTCCAAAAAAAATACGAAATTAAAATTTGAATTTAGATGTCAATGATACAAGTAAAATATTATACGAAATTAAGAAAAATTATCTCATTCATCATTAGTAAAATTTAAAAATTTTTATTATCCAGATTAAAAGATTACTACTTAAAAAATTAGTAAATTCATGTAAAAATAACAAAACACGTGACAACATTCTAATATCGACTAAAGTTATATAGAAAGATCTCAAAATCATTAATTTACTTCTATTGAAAATTTCATATGGATACATTGAATTAAAATAAACATATTAGATTTCGTTTGTTTGTAAAAAATAAAAATAAAAATATATTTTGTTTAGTTGGAAATTAATTGATTTACGAAAAATAAGTTTTTTTTTTCTTTTTAATTATCTTCCCTAATTAAAACAATTTCTTAAAAAGAATTGCCAAAAAAATAAAGCTACTTGCCAAGACCTCGAGGTTAGTTCGATTTAAGTCGTACCTTGCACATGATCTTTTACATGGAGATTTTATTGGACTCTATTCAAAATATAATAATAATAATAACAATAATATTTTTAAATTTTTGTTCAAAAAATAATTATTAATATTGTAAATACCTTATTTTGTTCGAAAATTTTTTGAGATAAAAACGAATCTTTAACCATTAATTGAACTTAATTGAGAAACTTTAAGTCTAATAAAAAAATTTTAATTTTAATTTGATTTGGTTTGATTTTACTTGTTTTTTAAAAATAAAACTAATAAATTAATAAAAAGAGAAAAATCAAAAGAAAGAAAAAACGTGGTGCTATTGTGGGATAATTCTTGATGATTTAATCCCGAATTTATTGGAATAATTGGTGATTCAATCACGGATCCATTGGAGTAAGATTCTTGGTGATTCAGTTACA